ACACAAATGAACTGGCTTTCGACCCGCTCGAGTTCTCATTATATTCCCATAGAGTTTTCTTGTTTCTATTTCATACCCAGTTTGCAGCCGCTGTTTGGTTCCTAAGATGATTTTCTAGTAATCATACCCTCTTCGCAGCCGCTTTCTGGTTCTTGAGATGTCTTCGCAGCTGCTATTTGGTTCATAAGATGTCTTTTTGGTAACTGTGCATGCTCAACATAGCTCGATAACGTCACTTTTTCAATGCACATGCTCACTGACTGTCTAGCATTTCCAAGCGCATGCTCCCTGCGTTTTTTATAAATAATTCACGGACGTTATTTGGTAACTGCACATGCGCATTGCTTAATTCGGAATTCCCATATCTTTGTAGTAAAAGCTACCGCTACCTACAGTTTCTTAATGACTATTTCCTCTTGATCATTACAACCTAAAGGTGCAGCGAGAAAACATAAAAAACAACTACTACTTAGTACTACAGTACTGGTAATTTAACAAAAGCCTACAGTAGCATGATACAAACCGCAAAGAAACCAGTATGGTTTATCAGGGGTGTCATTTTGAAATAAAATGACAGGAGGAGTTTTAGTAATAGGCGCAGGAACATATGTCGCGGAGCGACATCCGAGGTAACTTTGGCCCGAGCTGGGGTGGGTTTGGGATGGGGTCTCCCCCTCCCTACCTAAGAAAAAAATGAAAAATAATTACTGTAAGATGCCATTTAACAGTGTTAAATTTTAACTGTTGAATTTTGTTGCCTGAACAGGGGTTGGGTTTGGGATGGGGTGTCCCCCCTCCCTACCTAAGAAAAAATAAAAAAAATAATTACTGTAAGGTGCCATTTAAAAGTGTTGAATTTTAAGTTTTGAATTGTGTTGCAATGTTTGATTTTAGAATGTATTAAACACTATTTTAAATTAAAAATCCAACAGTCAAACATTTTTTAGGTTAATTTAATTTTCAATAACAATAAATGGATAGCACATCATACATTGTTTGTACTGTAATTATGTATTTTCTTTCAATGTTTTTTTAAAAACTATTTACATTCAATTGCAGTTCAGCAATCTGATTCTATTTACTTACTAGTTTTCTTACTTTCATCTACATGGCAGCTAATACTGTGCCTTTTCTTCATGCAGGTATTTTTAATTAACTTTGCAAATATACAAAAAAATAAATAAAATATAAGAACTTCTATTTATAATCGAAAAAGGCAACATACTGAAAAAAACAATGAGATACAAAATTGGTAACCAAAAGCTAAAATTTAAATGTAAAAGTAAAACGGCCAGTGAGATAAATTCCTAGCTTTTTGGGAGGACCCTCAAGCTAACGACGGCACTGTTTTGCAGAGGCCCTTTTGTTGTCAAGATATTAAAGCTTAGAATGTAGCAAAAATTTACGGTGAATAAAAATCATGTATTCTCCAAGCTTTATATTGTTTAGTATACATATTTGTAAAAACAAAGAAATTTATACTTGTTTAAAAGTTGTTACTGAGCAACGCACGATCGAATCAACGGCAAATCAACGCACAGGGAATCCTCAAATTTGTTCATGTGAATGTACGTTCAACCACATCCATGTAGTTTGAACCATGGAGGTTTGAAAAAAAAAAATGTTTTTTTTTATTAAAAATATAACTTGATACAATATATATTTATTTCAACCATTAAATAGATTATTCAATCATTATCTTTTCAAAAAAAGGAATTGTGCCATTTGCATTATTTTTAGTTTACTCACATCATGACCACTGTATGTACGAGCGAGGACGCGAATGCTCTCTACATCCACACGCTGATCCACCTCATACCGTACTAGTAGAGTGGCTCGTACACACAGCATGGCCTTTCTCTCAAATCAACTGTCAATGTTGTTTTTGTTTGTGACGACATGGGAAAATGTGTTAATAAAACATTAAAACTATTTGGTTGACTTACTTTATTCGTGATGATTAAATATCTTACAAGAATTACCTGCATATTACATGCCATTATGACAGGGCAAGGTTGTTCACTTCTTGCTTCCTAGCATACTTTGTAGGGTGGATCACATGGTCTTTCTCAATGTTCTTCGCTCGATCGGGGTTCATCTTACAAAATATAATATATGTTCTTCGCCGACGCTCGATCGGGGCTAGACCCGATTTAACGGTGTTCTTTGGTTGGACGTTCTTTGTGACAATGTGTTTGAATGAAATTAAAATTTTATTTGCTTTGATTGTGATGATCTAGTAATGTATAGTACAAAATTTAAGCTTAGGTCTAGAAGGATGCTGTTTTAATTTTCATGGTAAATGCTAGACCTAGAAGGGAATTTCTCCATGTTTTTGGCGTAGGCTTCATACACAGGACCGCATACATGTCGTCTTCTTCAATCAAGTGTGGTCATTCAAAAATGATGCGAGTAGAGTGAAAAGAACACAAATATTTCCAGCTCATCACTTACATTTTGAAAAGTTAAAAAAATAAATAAATTTATTAAATGATTGAAACACATACTAACTAAACCAGCAAAATTATATTACGAAAATCAAACCAAGCCTGCTCCGTGGTTCAATTTTGAGTCGAACTTACTTACAAGAATATGCGAACTAATTCGGGGATTCCCCATGTGGGTTGATTTGCTGTCACGTCGATCGTTGCGGGGATCGTGTGTTGTTCAATTATGGCTTTTGAAAGAGTAGAAATTTTTTTTTAACAAGTACTTGCTTGGTCAAGAAATATGATTTACGACATTAGATTCTGTATTTAAAAGTAAAGTATTGGTTCTTAGGGCTTGGCAAGGACCAGCCCATGAGTCATCTAGGTTTTGAGGCCACTATTTTATTTTTACCTCCGTTCTAACAGCTGGCACATAAATCATAATAGAGAGAGATTGCGCCGGCCGCCGGCTTAAAATGACACCCTTGGTTTACTCTTTCCTTTTTAATCTTTTTAAGAATAAGAAGTACTGTGAAATGTGTGAAATCCAGGGAATTCTGTTTACATTACAGTATTATGAAGGCCCCTCTCTCTCTAGCTCTCTCTAGTTTGCCGGTGGCCAATGATCTATCGGGACGACGATCAGCGATACGCTCTGCTGCTGCTCCCTTACCCTGTCCCTATTTTGGGCGGATAGGCCTACACGGTCGCTGTTGTTTTTAGTATTAGAGTACATTTAATTTACTAACCTTTTAATATGTTAAGCAGTTCTTGTTTCTGTATTGACCTAGTTGTGTCATCATATGCTTTACACTGATGCCCTTCATATAATTCCACAGCAGTTTTGCCATTCTTAATTGTGTAATAGATGAAAGCAAAAAAAAAATTGAATGGTTATTATTAATGTAATTTTGGTCATCCTAAATAAATAGAATGGTTGTTGGTATGAATCAATAATGTATACAGAGCCTTATATAATCAATAATTAAAAACCTATAAATTACCTGTACAATACCTGCAAAACTAAATTCCATACTATTGATCATGATATTAATAAAATATATGAGATTATACCTTCACTATAATATTAAGACAGTATAGCAGTACATGATATTGTTAGTTACACATTAAATACAGTGCTCTATACTTTGTTTCATTGCAACATTGCACCATTAGGGAGCTACAGTATATAATGTTTATAAAAACAGACTTTATGCAATTATCAATAAAATGCATCTTTAACTTACATTGTTTTTCACAGAAGACATATATCTGTGATTCTTCATCAACGCAAGAGACACAGAAAGATGGTGTTTATAAGTTCCCTCAGAATCCAAAAAACAATCATGTAGAAGAGTGTTGCCATGCTAAAATGCATTAAAAACGTTTATATTTTATTTAAACAAACTACATTGTTACTATGGATGTACAATTAATGTAATAATTAAGTGAGGATAGAACTCGACCAGGCAATGCTCACTCGGCCAAATGCAAATGAGGAAACGCCAAAGCTCCCACAGTGTGCAATTTTGTGATGCCTTTGAAGTTTTTATAATGGGTACGGTTTTATAAGTTCGGTCCATTTCAATGGTTGTGTAACTGATTCCAATATAAAGCCAATAAATTTATCTAAAAATACAAATATTGTCAACAGAAAAATGTATTTAAATTTAAAGAAAAATTGAAATGAACATTTAAAGTATATGGTAACTAAATATAAACTTGAATTTTTGAAAATTGAAAACATGAACTCAATAGTTCTAATTGAAACACAGTATATCGATCAAGGAAAAGACTAAAGATAACAATACTAAAGTCAATTCAGTGTGAAAACATGTGGCGAGTACTACAAACTTTAATTGAAGGAGTAGTTTTTAAAGTTTCACTGAGATCTGGCCAAAAATCTACGCAAATCAGGTCTGCAGATTATCAAGCACTGTTGTTATTATTTATCTATTATAGTATAAGCAGCATAATCTAATTTGAATATTACCGGTATTTGATTTCTTAGCTGCCAACCAAGCTATAGTTTCCAAGTTTAATAGTTTAGTACTGTTTTTTTTATGTATGTATTGTATTGAGACTCTTCTACATAAAAATGAAATAAAAGATAGATGGATGGATGGATGGATGGATGGATGACTGGATGGATGGATAAGAAAAATTGTCTGTCAAACTAACAATGTTTATATTTAAATGCTTACTTTTTATAACATAGCTATTGGACTTCAATTAAAATTGAGAAAATATTCTACTGACCTAATAATGCATCATAAAAATTACAAAAATAATCATACTATGTCCATATCCACAGATTGGCTATTAATTAAACAATAGCTGACTATCCCAAAATATAAAAGTAATGTGGGACAATTCTCTGTTGGGTGTTCTGGTGCTAGATTATGGAATGCGATTCCAGAATATATCAGACATAATTCAAAATCTGTTTTAAGAGAGAACTAAAGTTATTTTTATTGAAGTAAACTTACCCATTATTATATGTACATTAATGTAATCATGTATGTACTATACATCTTCTTTGAAATGAATTTTTTTGATAAATTTTATTTATTCTTGTGCTCTGAAATGGTATATTTGAAGTTGAAAAAGTAATAATTTTGCCCTATTTATAGAATTATTCAATTGTTTTACATTTAAAGGGGCTGGACTTGATTAGTGTTTACCCTATTTTCTAGCTTCTTCCTATATTGGTTTACCAGTATGTGTTTATTTCAATTTTAGATTACATATACTTATTGGAAAAAATAAAGTTAAAAGTTTGAAAGTTGAAGTTGAATTTTCCTAGTAGCAAGTCTGTAATTAGCTAAAATATATTTCACAATTATAGAAAAACAAAAAAATATTTGAGCAATGTACAGTGTCTGATTGCTTTAAATGACCTATTAAATGCTCTTTGAAATATTTCCCTAAATTTTATGGTGTTTCAATCTCATAATGGATTTATAATAATTCTATACTATGGTGCTTTAAATTTCTGCAATTTAATATTTCTAATTACTTACATTGTTTTGCAGAACCTGTGCCCCAGCATCTAATAGAAGTTCCAATGTGCTTGCATGGCCAAAGTAGGCGGCCAGATGTAGAGCTGTATCACCATTCTGTTGAGGAATATTAATGATATTTAATAGTTAGTTTAATAGTCTGATTTTAATAGTTGTTGCCATAGGAAAAGAAAATGTGGAACAAACAAGCCAAATGAGTCACAAACATACTGCAATGTTATAAATGTTTAAATCTACTTTATTGCACTAAACTATCCTTTATAATATTTCTACACCATGCTATGTTGTTATTTTCCTCATTTTCAATGTTAAAACAACCATTTTAACAACTTGGGTGATAGTTTCTGTCTGGAAATGCCTGCAATTGTAACCTTCGAAGGCTGATTTCTCAAATATTGTTCTTTAAACAGCTGTATGTTTAAACCCCTGTAACTTCATAACGAATGTTGGATTTAAATGGTTCTTTTTAAACATTTTATAGTTCTCATTTTATTACTTTTTAACCCTGTATTAATAAATAAAAATAAATTTTTGCGAAGAGTGAATGGTTTGGCTTATCTTTGCACAAATCGTGTCTTCTAAGGGTTGAATATGTGTTAAATTTATGATGTAGTGACCCTGTCATGGTTAGCAGTAGAATAAAATAGTTGGGGCGGATCCAGTAGGTGGCACTAGAGGCACGTGTCCCCCATTTACCTATCCTGAAACTGTTGTCCCCCTCATCATTTGAAAAGTTCTGGATCCGCCCCTGAATATAGTCCTTTCATTTTGCAAAAACATGTATCCCTTAATGGGGGAGGGGGGGTTTCCCCTAAATAATAGGAATTTTTCGTTTTGACTACAGGGCCAGTCTACGACGAACCAATAGAGCGTAACAGACATCTGCGCATGCTCACAAACCTTAATGGCTAAATCTGCGTTGTGATAGCTTCTGCGGCTACCCCAATTTCTGAATGTGGCGTAGTGGTGACTACCCTAATATTGACCAATCAGATAACCGGATTGTTTGGCAAACTGCTGGTAATTTTTTTGTTGGTGGTTGCAATTTCATCGCATCCGTGATCAAGCACTGTTCGTTCAATAATTAATTGATTATTAAAACAAGTGAGTAATTAAATGTTTTATGAAGGCTTATTTATACACATACAATAAATGAGGAATGAATAGTCACAGCATAAAATTAGGTAAATCAAAGGATAGTCAAAAAAGGGGCATCTCAGGCTTAGGCCTAGGCTAGCATATAGCCTTGTCATGGTGGTTTTTGGGTAGGAGAAAACACTTTATCTGGTTCCGCTAGCTAGGGCATCTGCGCCCATGATATCGTGGATCAAGCCTTGCTAAATAAAATTGTTATGTACATTTATTTGTACATCATCGTTGCATTTGGCAAATTGCCTGAGCATGTCTGACACCCCTCTTCTCTCGGTTCCCGAGTCTTTTGACACCGGCTAGGCTAGGCTAGGCCTAGTTTGTTGGCCTATCCTAGCCAACAGCGAAACATCACTCAGTGTTTTCTGGAAACTTTTTATTTTGTATACAGTATTTGACTAAAGTTTTTTTTCACATTTCCTTTTTCAAATATAAAACAAGGGAACATTGTTCCCTGGTAATAAAACCATGGTCAACTACCCTCTCCGTAGGCCTACGTATGTGTGCTGCATCGTTGTAGTCGCCTTAAAAAAACGAAAACAGCTCTTGGTGTAGTACGCAAACAGTGTCTTGGCATTGCCGTCACGGTCCATTAGTTCGTAGTAGACTGGCCACGTAGTCAAAACGAAAAATGCCTAGTGTAAAGCCTGCGCGTTACGCAGGCCTATCACAAATTGTGATAGGTGGAAGCCTGCGCGTCTTGCAGGCCTATCTGTTAAATTTTATAGTGCAATTTTGGCGAGTAAGACTGGTGTTCCGTCGTTATGTCGTGGTTGCCACAAGAATGTTAAATGACGTGGTTTATGTGGGTGTGACCCAAAGTGACGATAGAAGTCTGGAGTTTATTGTTTCAGTGAGTTTATAAAATACATCAACTGTAAAATACGAATATATGATGTTAGTTAAAATAAAAGTCATGGATATATGTACATTTGGGAAATGCATTGTTAAATGTTTCAAATGTCGTTCAGGTGGTAACATAAATATAGTCCTATGCAAAGATTTTATAATGTCCAAATGTTAAAACAGAGATATTATTATCGTGGAGCTTTGATATATATATATATATATATATTATTATATATATATATATATATATATGTCAAATTAACAATGTTATTGTTAATGAATGCATCCAACGCTGGTATTAGAGCTGAAGGTTACGGTGCCCCTGACTTAACGCGCTCGGCCAATCAAATCAACCAGAGATGAAAATAACATAGGAACCCATGGCACTCAAAAGCTAAAATTTCATACACCTAATAAAGTAAAAGATGTCCACTGAGAACCAAGAAACTGCAAATATATTTGGTAGAGCAAGAAGATCAATGAGAGGAATGGACAGTATGTGAATTTCAAATTAGTGTTGGAAGTGGAAAAAGAATTAAAAAAAAAAATACTGGGGAAATCTGAGAAGATATCTAATTAAAGCATATAATACTGTATTAATTAACAAGAAAAATTCAAAAAGTTTTCCAGGCCTGTATATCAGTTGGTGTGGTTGTGTGATGTGTATGTAAACACCCCATCAAATTTGAAAAGTTCGAACATTTTCCTGACATTTGAGAACCTACTAAATGAATTCTGTGATTTATAAAAATAAAAATCTTAAATATTTACATTACATTACAGAAAGCTATTCTGTCGACAAAATATATTCTGTTATCATAAGATCATGATTTTCTACGACAGAATTTATTTTGTTACCACAAAATTCTATTTTGATGACAAAATGATATTTTTGTAAGACAGAATGTATTTTGTCATCACAAAATGCTATGTGTTGGTAAAATTACTTTTTCTGAGACAAAATTTATTTTGTCAACATAAAAAACTTTTATAGAAGAAAATTCTATTCTGTCGACAATAGAAATTTTGTTAGGTAACAGAATTTATTTTGTTAACAGAAGAACTTTTTGTGTGCTACAGAACAAGGTTATATGCAAATGAGGAGGTGGAGCTCTTGGTTGGATGACACGCTAACAAAACATCCACTTTTGCTTCTGATCAGTCACATGATCTGTATGTGGTACTCGCTTTCTTATTGTTCTGAATGTTCGAGTTCATGCACTATAAAGATGTTGTAAGCGACACCATATTTGCTGTTTGTGTTTTTATCAATACATTTCTTTTACCAAATGACTAAAAGCTGTTTTACGTGCGTTTTGTTTACGATGAATTACTGGATAGGCACCTGCTGTG